ATGCAGACTGGTGAAACCACTGTGGAAATCAGTTTGGAGATTCCTCACAAAACTAGGTCTAGAGGTCCCATTCAACCAAGCTATTCCCCTTCTGGGTATTTTCCCAGAAGATCTAAAAACATCATGTCACAGTGATATATGTGCACCTGTGTTCATAGCAGCACAATTTGTAATTGCTAAATTGTGGAAGCAACCCAAATGTGCAACCACCGAGGACTGGATAAGAAAATTGTGGTACTTTTATAGAATGGAATATTAGTCAGCTCTAAAGAAAGATAAACTCAAGGCTTTTGTAGGTAAATGGTTACAACTAGAGACCATACTCATAAGTGAAATAAATCAGACCTCCATGTGCAAGCATCGCATTGTCTCACTAGTGTAAAACCTAAAAAAGTTAATTTAAACTCTGAGGTATGATAGAGATTGTGAAATGATAGGAAAATGCTCAAGGGTAAAAGGCAACTTGGATGTGGGAAAAGAGAAAGGAAAGAAGGAGAAATTTTGTATGTATGTATATACAGGGTAGTTAACATAGTTGTTCTACTCTCTTCTATTTCTTTGCTGAAATAAACAGTTAATGAGTCCTTGATTGATCAATACTGCATGTCTCTGTTTTCATGAGAAACCACTGTGAAGATGTCAATATGTTATACAACAAGCATTGTTAATTTCCTACCACTTTGTAACTCTGTATTGTTTGTACTGTTCTTTTGCTATTCTGTAAAAGGTTGTCTGTTAATGTTTTCCTCCTCCTTAAAATAAAAAAAAAAAATTATTTTACCTGTGACACAGGAAACATTTAAGAGTGTGCTGCGTTCCTGGTGTGTATCATTGCAAAAAGGAATTTTAATTGGGGTCACAATCAGAAGCCTAAGTGGCACTGTATAGCCTACTGCCAGGTACCCACTCCACATCCTAGAGCTGACTCATGGAGGCAGTAAGGAAAACCTGCCTGAACTGCAGAGGTGCCCAGCTCGAAGCAGTCACTCAGAGGGATTCAGCTGCCCTGATTCCCTCAGCCAGGCCTGTGCAGTGGCAACCATTCTGCTATGGACTTCAGATGCTCGCTCTCATGATTAACAGTAGGAATACAGCCTGGAGTCCCCTCTCCACCATCAAACCTGGCCTCTCTTTCCTATCTCATTCCCTCCTCAGCTGTCCTGGGACTTCTTTCCCTCCAGTTTTTATCTCCAAGTCATTTGCTTTCCTTCAATTTATCTACTTCCTCTGGAGCCTTTCCTATTTCCACCCCACCCTTCACCTCCTTTCCCAGGATACATACATGCAACACAACTGCACACAAATGTTTTTCAGACAATTCAGCCTTTATTTTTGAAAATAATTCTGTAAATTCCACTTTGTTCTGCGAAACTGAGTTCAGGCAATAAAAACACATAAATTTCTCTCCAATCTGCCATTTCCTAGCCTGTGAGGACATGGGAATGCAGGACCTGTTCCAGGGCCAGAGCTGTCCTGATCTCAGCTATTGAACCTCAGGCTGCGAAGGCCACTTGAAGCCACAGTCCTCAGGGAGGAGCCTATGCACCAAACCCCAGGGGATAAAAGAGACACAGGAGCTCATTTGTCTTCAAGCCAGCATGGAATACTCCTAAAAGAGGGAGACAGGTATTTTTTAGAAAGGAGGTGGTCTAGGGATAGCATCTCTTTGAGGCAAGAAACGGGTAGGGTAGCAAAGGCTTTCCTCCCACCTTTCCCCTGACAGTTGGGCATGAGCCAAGTGGAAGATCTTGCTTTTCCTCCTCCACATTTCATCTCTGAACTACCAAGTACTGGGCTGCAGAGAAAGGAGAGGAGAGGGGATCAGTGATAAGGAGAGAAGGGCAGGAGACAGTAAATGCTGGCAACCCAACTCTACCCTGACCCTGCAGTGAAACCCCTTTGGTTAGTCTCATTTTGGCCACAAAAACATTCTCTTCTCCTATTACCCATCCCCACATTGGGGGAAGGTAGTAAAAGAGAAAAAAAGGAGAGGCTCATGCCCTGGCTGGAAAAGCCAAATCACAGAAGAGGCCTGGTCAAAAAGGCTAAAGTTGCCAACCTCTATGCAGGGACCATAGGAGAAAACTCAGGATATGGACATTCTTGGCCCCAGTAAGCCCAAGCGCTCTCCTACCACACAGTGGTTTCTTGTATAATACTTCCTAACATACCTCAGAATGGCCCCTCTCCTCTGACTCCCTTGAGAACGGGAGAATAACCCTCATCTTAACATCTGTGCACCTGAATGCCACTCAAAACAAATGCAAAGGAAAAAACAAAAGATAAATGGACCCAAGGGCAATACAGACAGGATGATACAGCCCAGGGACTGCAGTCCCATCTCAGCTCATGGCATGGCAAGGAAGAGACCCCAGAAGGAAAGGCAGATACTGTTAATTCCAACTGGGATCATAACCATCCCAGGTCTGTGGGGGTGCCAGATGAACACGGCGGCCCCGGAAATGGAAGGTGACAATGCCTCGGTAACCAGCCCTGGGAACACCTGACTTGAGGTCATCCATAACACCCAGGCCCTTGGCGAAGGCCTTGAAACTGTCCCTACTTGTATATTGCACCCGCACTTCCCCCAGCTCCTTCCGATCATTGGTCCTCACTTTTTCCACCTGTAGCTGGGGAGCACCATAGACGCGGGCAAGGAAATCGCGATCATAGGTCTCCTGCTGCAGGTATGACAAGTCTAGCTGGGTGAAGGGCACAAACTGCTGGTTCAGCTTGATGAACTTGAGATGCTGGTCGAAGAACTGCCCATGGCTCACACCCTTGCGCCCAAAGGTCATTGTTCTTGAGATTTCGGGGCGCACGCAGGCCCGTCCCTTCCGTTGCTCAGGCCGGCGCATCCAGTCGTCCCAGAAGGCCTTGGGCCACTTGGGCTCCAGCTCAGCCCACAGTTCAGCCAATAGTAGCCAGCCCAGGCCAGGAAAAAAGTCTGTGCGATAGAGCAGCTCTGGCTTGCTCAAGTCCACCATCTGCTCTTTGCCATTGTCATTCCAGGCAGACACACACCAAAGAGAAGGGTCACTCCTCAGCAGTGGGTAAGTGGCCTGGAAGTATTCAAAGAAGTCTGGTGCCACTTCTAGATCATCCTCCACCACCACAGCCGCTGGATACTTGAACTCATGAAAGATCTGACCCAGTGCCCAGCGATAGTGCCTGGCAATCTTGTAGTAGCCCTGGAACTTGCGGTGGTCAGGTTGCACAGCAATGCTGCTCAGGTCAGGCTGCCGGATATGCGTGACTGCACTGCCATAGGAAGCAATGACCTGGGCTGTTTCCTCGTGCCCACAGTCCTGGCTGACAATAATGGGGAAGTGCTCAGCTGAGGGCCGATAATGCAGCAGTTTGTCCAAGCAGCGTCGGACAGTGCTACGGTCACAGGCAATGACTAGGATGGGGATCACAGCTGGTGATGGGGTCACGGGCACACGAGGCTGGGCAGGAGGAGCTACAGTGGGAACTCTCCACCGCTGGCTCCACAGAGCATGGTGCTCCCTGATCTCCTGCAACAGCCCCCGCTGACGCTCCAACTCCACCTCAGCATCCTGAGCAAGGCGGATCACCTCACGGGTGAGGCTGACAGGGTCGTCATCAAGAGCACTGTCTAAGTGTGGCCGGCCAGGTGCTGGGCGTGTCCAGAAGAAGAGGAGCAACAGGGCATTCCAGGCCACAAAGAGGATAGCTCCCCACAGCACAAGCCCTGCAGACTGCTTCTTCAGCATCCTGGCCCCCACCAGGGAGGGCGGGCAAGGGAGGGCTTGAGGCTGCCCTTAGGTTGCCTTGACCACAGTATTAAGGATGCTTCCCCTGGGCTATGGGATTAGGAAGTAATCATGCACCTAAAGAGAAAAGAGAGAAAAACAACTATCATCATAAAGGCATGTGGCTCCATACTTTCATGGGGTGTAGGAATGTGGAGGGCAGAAAGAGGTGAAAAAGTAAGTGAGTAGGAAGTAGAGGCTGACTCGAGGTCTCTCAGTGAGGGGCTGCCCTCCCCCTAATCTTAGAACACCAGGCCTCAGTACTCCAAAATGAGCTAATTACTCCTCAGAAAAGCAATAATGTTTAAGCGGGGAGGTAGACAGTGATGTTGGTGGAAGGGAAAGAGCAAAAGAACCTGAACTCTCCCTTCCCAACCTGACAGATTTCACTTCCATTTTCCAGAGCTTTAGGGTAAGAGAGAGAGGTAAACCTATCTCCCACTCCTCAAAACTGCCCTAAGAGTATCGATTTAAAAATCAAATATCACATTTCACTTATTAAGAAAGCACTAGAGGCATTCTTAGGAGCATCAGGAATAAAGCCAGCTGCCCAGGAACTCCATGGCTACTAACATTCTATTGGAGGTCTCTGCCAATACAATTGGACTACATTAAATGAACAAAAAAAGTAAAGCTATCTCTATTTGCTAATGCTGCAAAAAATATGCTCAAAGACTCCTTAGAAGATAATGATAAAACTAAACCAAATAAAGAACTGCACAAGGGAGCAGGATATAAAAACATATAAATATCAATAGCATTCATATCTATATAGTAGATGGAAAACCTATTTACAAAAGCCTGAAAATGACAAAATATTTACAAAATTTAAGAAATTTATTTACAAATAAATTGCTCTTATGACATTAGAGCATCATCAAAAATCTGAACAAAATGCTCTTTTATGATACTAAAGCTCACATACAAAATTAAAAACACAAAAGTATCTAAGAAAAGAATAAAAAGGAGTGGTGAAAATGGACTGGTCCTGCCAGATACTAACATAATGAATACTATAAGCCCTCTGTAATTAAAATTGGTACAGGTAAATAAGTACCTATACCACAAAGAGGACAGCTTTGTGGTATGGCATTACCACAATGGAATGCCCAGTGGAATGGACTACCCAATGGCACACAAGTTAGACTCCAGAAATAGATGAATTACACACAGAAATCTAGTACATGATATTTATAATTATTAGGGAAAAGGTCTTATTATTAATAAGTTACAATAATTATCCATTTGGAAAAACAATTAGATCCATACACAAGGATAACATCCAAGTGGCTCAGAATAGAAAAAATAAGACTACTATAAGGGGTATTAAACGAAAACCTTTGGGAACGTGTACGTTTATTATGACTGCAGTGAGATGTACACATGTCAAAATTTAAATTGCACCTTTAAACATGTGCAGTTTATTGTATGTCAAATATACCACAATAAGATTCTTTCTAAAAAGATGTTATTAAGTGACAAAACTGGAACACAGATAGTAGTTCTTTTTTTTTTGAAGTGTTAGTATTAACTGACTGATAACTCCTGCATCAGTTCTTAAGAAATAGACAATGAAGTGGTCATAAGGACTATGATAGATACCTTCAAATAGTCCAGAACAAAAAAAAATTGTGTTGCGGGGGCTGGGGATTTAGCTCAGCGGCAAAGCGCCTGCCTGGCAAGCGCAAGATCGTGAATTCGATTCCTGGTATGGGAAGAAAAACAAAAAAAACAAACAGTGTGTGTGTATGTGTATGTGTGTGTGCGCAGAGAGAACAAATGAAACAAAATGTTGACAACAGGTGAATCTCAGGAAGGAAAATATGCACTTCTTACACATTTTATTCTTGCAACTTTCTTAAAGTTTGAGACTATTTCCAAATAAAATTTCTTAAAAATAAAGTATGGGGATATGGCCCATAACTCTGAATAGCTTCACCTATCAACATGGCCCTACTGCGGGACACAGATCAAGTAAGGAGAACTGAGATAATGTTTGCCTTGAATTTCTTAATGATTTCATAACATATATTGCATACCTGCTCTCTGCTGGACTCTTGAAAGGGACAAGGAAATACAACCAACAAGAAAAAGATATGGCCCCAACAAACCATCACACTCTGCCAGACTGCATTATTTGAAAGGATCTAAAACATCCTCTAAATGCCAGACAGCTGCCATTCTAAATCACATGACTCCCTGGACTTCCTAATTCTGGTCTCAACTGTACATACCCTAACGTTTCAAGTATGCAGTCTCTTGTGCCAACTGCTCTATAAGCTACCCTCTGGCTTACAGCCTAGTCCTCTATTCTAAGCCCAAACTTTGTGTCCCAAATCTAATCTCTGCAGACCTGAGGTCTCAAGCTAACAGATCTGGTACGAAAGGGCTTATCTTAAATAGGGACCTGGCTTCTGTCTCCCTCCTGCCGAGTACTCTAGTTCCTGCCTGTGTCCACTGCCACCTGTCTTCCTCCTAGAAACCAACCACCCCCAATTCCAGATCACCAGTCTTCTCAGAAACCTTAAGATTCTTTCCACTTAACTGTGTAATTAAGTTCCTATTTTATCAGGGCTTATATGTTAGCCTTGATAATAGAGATGCACAGACTTCCAGCTTTTTCTTCACTCTCAGGGAGGGAACAATGCTGGAACTTTCCTTATAGTCTAATAGCCAGGATTCTCTCTCTCCCTGCTTCCTGCCTCCTAAGCAACTGTGCAGGAAAAAGGTGGCTTTAGGTAAAAGAATGAGAAGAGAGTCAACTCCATTAACTGGAATGCTGGCCTCGGGGATAAAGGATAGCAAACAGACCATCTCTAACTTATCAACAAGTCACATCAGATCTACAAGTTCTCAGACTGGTGGGAAAACTCCAAAGGACCACATCCTCCCTACCCATTAGATGATTTCTGTACCTTTCACAAGGTACACTTTTTAGCCTTTAGAATTAGGTAGAACACACCCACTATCAGAGGCCTTCAAGCTACACAAATAAAAAAAAGACTTCGCAAACCTGTAAAACATCTACAGAGAATGGATTGTCAACAGGAAAAGCTACCCTATTCCAGTCCCAGCCTTCACCTTAGTCCTCATGCCTTTGTTCTCTACCCCGTGGCCATTTTGTATCAATTCTCAAAGAGAACCTGATTCTCTTGTAATAAAAGAACAGATACCTCTACATCCAGCCCCATCTGCCTCCACAAAGACTCAGTACCACTTTGCTGCGGTTTATCTACAAATTCTTCAGGGCAGGATCCTCAGTTCTGTCTGTAAGTTAGTAGAATATGCACATACTGAAACCTGAGTGCATGATTAGGCTCAAGAGATGGCTAAACTAAGGGTGTGGTCAGCAGAGCTGACCCACTCCTCTAGAGGGCACTGCTCAGATGCCTGCTCAGGCTACCATCAGGAAGGCACAGCAATCACAAAGGCAAGCCAGACAGCTCAGAGGCAACGTGTAGCATCACCTTGTGCTTTTCTACATTTCTCAGACTCAATTTTCTCATGTCTAAGATGGAAATCAGAATACCTCATTGAGTTGCTGTGAGGACTGAACAAGATAGGATATGATAACAGTAAATGTTAGCCAGTTGCTCATTTCACTGTTCCACTCTACTAGATTCACTTCGAGTCTTTTCCCTACCCTCAGAGGCTTCACATGTGACTGTCTACCCATTCTGCTCCTCCTCCTCTTCTTCATCTGACAGCTCTAATTTGCATCTGCCAAGATATTGTCCTCAATGCTTTTGGAAAATGTGAGCCCAGCTCCTCTTCAAAATCATCAGTGCCACTGCAACCTCTTGCTCAACATCTGCCATATTCCTTCAGCGGAAAACTGTACAAGGAGAGGGACCAGCTCCACCAGCTCTGCCCTGCTACTGTGCTAGAGTCCTCAGTGTTCAGATATACAAGTGACCTAAAAACTGGCTTTAGTGTGGGGGAGGATGCCACAGAATCCCTCAACTAAAATTTGAAAAAAAAAAAAAAAAAAAAAGTGCTGAAAAACAGTTCCCTAAACTCATTTGGCAGTAAAATCTCACCTAACTTCACTTGGTGAAATATGATCTGATCTAATGTGAGGCTATTTATAGCCTTTATTTATCCTACTTAGTGTGTCTACTCATATATTTTGCTACAGGAATAAACATGGTGGATTGTGGTGCATGACTTCAGATCTCTTAACATATAGTAAATATACCAGAATTGTTTTGAAATTCTAAAACATCTGGCCCCAAGAATTTCAGATTATAAAAATGGAAGAGAACTACTCCTTCACTGCCATGGTTCTACACTTCCAAGTCCTCAAACCCTTTAACCTTACCTCCACTCTTATTATGAAATACTGTTTTAAGTCTGATTTAACTCTGGATGTAGTTTCCCAGCTGTTTCACCTATAGTGTCCCTCTAAATAGCTTTCCTTCCCAGAATATTCTCCTAAAGTACTTGCCTGATCACAGCATTAACCTGCTTTAAAAATCAAAGCTGCCAATGTTCACATAAAAAAAAATTTCAAAAAAAAAAAAAAAAAAACCCTCCAACTCCTTATAACTTAGAAACTGACTTATATCCTTTCAACTTCATCTCCAGCCATGAACTCCAGAGACCCCACACTCTGGCCTCAGATGGCTGTTTTTCCCATTAAGTATAGTGGTACACTTCTGTATTTTGCTCCAGCTGGTCTCACATCCTAAATGCTACCTACAGCCCTACCTATAAGCTGCCTACACACACTCAAAGGCCCACTTCAGGAGACTCTTCCTGTAAAACCCCATTAGTTTCTTGTTCACTGTCACACCCTTGTATCATGTACCAGAGGCAGGCCTCCCTGTAACTATAATCCCATAGCACTCTCCTCATGCCGTAACAGAATATATGGGCATACAGGGCTCTCACCTTACTCCTTAAGAAAAAAGCTCTATAATATCTATGCCTATCATGGTGGTTAGTATATGTGTAAGGTTGAAGAGCTGCCTGTATCATTAACTAAGTCAGGGAGAAAGGAAGACCAAAACATCAGCAAGAGAGTAAAGGATTACACTTTCCAAGTGCCACATACCCCACCCCATATGCTTTTTTAC